TTTCACTATGTTGCCCTAGGTAGAGTGCCATGGTGTCACAGCTCACAGTAACCTTCAACTCCTGGGCTTAGGCGATTCTCTTGCCTCAGCCTCTGGTGTAGCTGGGACTACAGGTGCCCACCACAATGCCCGGCTACACTTTTGTTGCAGTTTGGCCGGGGCGGGATTTGAACCCACCACCCTTGGTATATGGTGCCAGCATCCTACCCATTGAGTCACAGGCTCTGCCCCGGACTATTTTCTTGTTGCAATTGTCATTGTTGTTTAGCTGGCCAGGGTCAGGCTCCAACCCACCAGCCTCGGTACATGTGGCTGACGCCATAACCACTGTCCTACAGGCACCAAGCCTCCTTCCTATTTCTTTTCTCTCTTCCTTGAGCCCATGCAGCAGAGGGAGGACTGGAGAAGGCATGGGAAAGTAGGGTAGCACTGCCATCTTTGCCCTCAGGAGGAGGGGCTCCAGGAAGGAGTTTACATTCTGACCTGTGCAAGCAGAGGGGGTGGCTGGCAGGGAAAGGGTGGCTCAGAAGGGAGCTCCAACTCAGGGGCCCTATGGGTTTCCTTCTTTTCACTTCACAGGCATCCTACCCCAGCCACTGCTCCTGCCCCCAGGGAACCTCTGCTCAGCACCCATGTCAGGATCAAGAAGTTCTGCTTACTAGAGAAGCCGGGACAAGGAACTGCAGCCTTGTCCTCAACCCTGATCCCATCCCCATTCCTTGCCCTTGGCCAAGTTCAAAATGCAGAATCCCTGGGCAGGAGTGGAGAATAGGAGGCCCTGTCTCCCTTCCAATGCCCTGCAGAGAGAAAAGTGATCCCTCCTTTCTAGCCTCCAGTCCCTTTGAAGGGCCAAGGCAGAGGATTATTCCAGTGTTTCCCACTCCCACCTATCCACAATTGGCTTCCTACTCAGAATTCCTGAGCACTCAGCTCAGAAAATGTGCTTGGTTTTGTTTGTCTGTTTGTTTGTTTGTGGTTTTTTTTGTTTTGTTTTGTTGCAGTTTTTGGCCAGGGCTGGGTTTGAACCCGCCACCTCTGGCATATGGGGCCAGTGCCCTACTCCTTTGATCCACAGGCACCACCCTCTGCTTGGTTTTTTACTCTCCCCATGATCCCTACAAAGCACTGGCTTCCCCATCTTTTTCTCTCTACCATCAGTCCTCCCTTTTCTCTATGGCCACCAGCAGGAGAGTCAAGCCAGAGGGATTGGGGGGAAAGCCTGGGACATTCTCATGCCTCCTGTCCCACAGTCCCTGCTTGCCCTGGGGGCTGGAACATGGGGAAGCAAAAGATGCCAGTTCTAGCCAGACAGGGGTGGACAGTAGTTGGCAGAGCCAGAACCAGGAGCTAACACCTTGGAGTCCCCTCTGCTAGGGGCGGGAGAGTACCTCTGGACATCTTTCCTGCAAACCCAGAGACCTCAGTGCCTCAGATGACCAGAAATGGAGAAAACATGTCCTTGGAGATATTGAGACAAAAGAGCATAATTCAGATGGGGTAGGCTAGGATGGGGAGGAAAGATCTACCAGTAGATCTTCCTGGCCAGGTCCTTCCCAGCCTGGACTGGGGCCTGGACATGTTCCTGAGCTGCAAGACTGTGCCTCAGAAGACGGAGAAATGAGTCACAGGTGTGTGTGTGAGGGGCCAGGTAGCACATGTTCCCAGCAGAACCAGCCCAGCAGCTCTGCAGAGCAGATCCTAGTACTGACGCACATGTGGGCACCCTTCCGGATCAATGCACACCCCCACCCCCAGGGACAGGTGGCAGTGGGTAAATCTGAACTTCTGGCAGCCCTGGGTAAGAAGCAGCAAGTTCTTTAGGAAGCCTCCCCCAGAAGGGGGGTTGCCAGCACCTTCTCATCCTCCCAGGTCCTTTTATCTGATTCCAGAGGAGACTCTGCGTTTGCATAAAGCAGTCATTTTCAACTCGTGTGCCACAAAAAGTTTTAAAGATTATTAATTATTTTTGATAGAAGTTCAAAGTACAGTAACTATATTCTTTTTTTTTTTTTTTTGCAGTTTTTGGCCGGGGCTGGGTTTGAACCCGCCACCTGTGGCATATGGGGCCAGCACCCTACTCCTTTGAGCCACAGGCGCCACCCACCATATTCTTTTTTAACTCTTTTTTTTAATCAACATAATTCAACTGTGCTATGGAAGTTTGGCTGTAGGTTCAAATGTGCCATGAGACAAAAAAGCTTGAAAAACACTGGCATAAAGTGTGGGGGTGAGAAAGAATTGTGCTTGGATTTTTACTTACTACCCCCACCCAGAAAGATCAGGAGGATCTAATTGTTCCCCCTTATTAGACCCAGCTGGCCCTGATGCTAGTGAGGAGGGGACACCTCTGAAATTTTGAGCCTTGCAATGTTAGCATTTTATTCATGATTACTACTAACATTGGGAGCCTATGTCTTCCACCCCCATCTCGGAGACTGGATATCCAGCAGTCTTCATTGCCACCAAGCACAAGCAGCTACTACTACTGCCCCTTTCATGAGAATAGCTACCATTCTCAGGGCTGGAAGACTCAGGCCTAGTCACCAGGACCAGGTGGCTCAATCCAGTCAGAGCCTTCCCAGCACCAGGTGCTGCCATCACTACCAAAGCCACAGTCAGCAGGATTGAGCACACCAAGATGGCTTAAGGCCAAATAGGAATTACTTTCCATTCTCACCACATCCTCTGAGGGAGGAAAAAAATGAGACGAACCTGAGTACTAGGGAAATGAGAAGGATGGGAACAGAATGGCTCTTTGCTGACTTATCAACATAAACCTAGGTGGTATCTCCAGGGTCAAGGACCTAGAAGCATCTCAGACCAGCAAATTTTTTTTCCTTTTTCTTTTTTTTTGAGACAGATTCTCAAGCTGTCTCCCTGGGTAGAGTGCCAGTGGCATCACAGCTCACAGCAACCTCAAACTCTTGGGCTCAAGAGATTCTCTGGGCTCAAGAGATTCTCTTTCCTCAGTCTCCCAAGTAGCTGGAACTATAGGCACCCACCACAATGCCCGACTATTTTTCTGTTGTATTGCCATTGTTTTAGCTGTCCCAGGGCCAGGTTTGAACCCACCAGCTTCAGTGTATGTGACCGGCGCCCTACCCACTGAGATACAGGCACCACCCAAAACAGCAAAATTTGAAGTTAAATCTGCAAAGAGCAGCTGGTATCAGATGCAACTGAGAGTCAGAGGATGAGGGGAGGGAAGGAAACTCAGAAAGGTGAAATGCTCCCCCCACCACCACAAACTACAGAGATTAGGCCATAGCTTGAGGAGTTTTCAACTTCCCCTCATTTTCACTAATCATTTCATAAACACACAATCTAATTTTTAGGACTGCTTGCTTTGTAGATTCAGCTTCAAGATAAGTCTCTTCCCCACATGCTGTACAGAAATCCTGGACTATCCCTGGGGCAAGATGAGAAAGGAAAATGCCAAACCAAGGTAAGAAGTACAGAGTCATCAGTCTTTAATAACTTACAAGCAAATGCTAAAAAACAGTTAATAATAATAATACAGAGGACACACATGACTTATAAAAAAAGGGTCATGAATCTAAAATGCAGGGAGGGGTTCTTGGCACTTTCACACAGACACAAAATGAAAACTACTGTGACTGATGTCCCTAGAAAAGCAGCCTGGGGAGACTCCCCAGTTCAGGGGAGGAAAATGGGAAGATAGCTCTCATTTATCCCAAATGCACTCTCCAAACCACTTTCCATGCCTCTCCCAAAACACATCCAATTAAAAAGCCAGAGAAGAAATACAAGAAACAGGATCGAGGTAGAGTCACAGTTTACATTTAAGCTTCCACAGTCCTGCAGCCCCCACTTCTCCAGAGGGGAGGATGAGGGAGAGATGTTCAAAGACATCCCATCTCCCATCCCCCCTCCTAGTGTGGCAACTAAACAGGAGCCCACATGCTCCTCCATCTTCCACTGAGGTGGACAGGTCCTGTATGCTGGGCTGACTGAGGCCATAGGCCCCAAGTGTGCAGATCCATACTGGTAGGGAGTGGATCTCCTCTGGTCACCGTCTCTTCTTGCCTGCCCGGGCGGCCTTCTTCCTCTTGATGATCATCTCATACAGTCGCTCCAGGCCTGGCTGCAGCCCCATCCCGTCCACAGCACTGCAGGCCTGCACATGGGTGAGAGTGGCTGCTGCCAGCTCACGGACTGCCAGCCTCTTCTCCACTTCTGCTGCACTAAGGGCCCCAGGTTGGTCCTGCTTGTTGGCCAGCACTAGCACAGGCACACCTTGGTTGTCCGAGGCCCGGCTGATTCGGTGTAGCTCAACCTTGGCCTCCTCCAGCCTTTCAGCCTCAGCAGCATCTACTACAAACACCAGTCCATCTGTCCGGCGGGTGTAGGAGCGCCACAGTGGCCGCAGCTTCTCCTGACCACCAACGTCCCACACTTGGAAGGTGATGCCACGGGACCCCCCCAAGGGTACCCGGATCTTCTCAGTGTTGAACCCTTTGGTGGGGACACTCTGGACAAACTCTTTGAACTTGAGGTGGTAAAGGAGAGAGGTCTTTCCAGCAGAGTCCAGTCCAATGACTACGACGTGCAGGGCCTGAAAGTGGGGCAAAAAGGAGGCGGCGGTGGGCGCCATCTCAGTCAAGTGGTTGCCCATGGCAAGTCTCAGGGCTCCGAGTAGAGAGAGACAGGGAGGAGGCCTTGAAATCACAGGCCCCGTGAGCACCGCTGTTCTGTGAACAGGTAAAAATCGAGGGTTAATAATAAAATTTGCAACTCCTTGATCCTTTTTCTAATTCAGTCGCCCTCCTTTTAAAATTCTCTCTCTCTCTTTTTTAAAGTAGCTGTGTTTAACAGAAGTGCTCTCAGCTTCCTGGAGGTCCAGGGTGGGTGGTAGTAATGAGACCTACAGAAATCTCCAGGTCCCAATACACTCAAGTTAGGGGTGAGGGTTCGACCGGTGGAAAGTCAGCTTCCAGAGCCTCTTTTCCAAGCTTGTGGCGCGGAGGCAGTCGGTGCGACCTTAGAATCCTCGCAAGAAGGGGAAATCGAGCAGCGCCCCCAAACTTAAGAGTTAGATGCACACGCTAAGACTGAGGTTTGAGTCCTGCTCTCACCAGCCCTCCAGGTCTTCATGCGGTTGACACGCCCCTCCTTATGCCGCGACCCCTCCCGACCGCCCCGCGACACTCCCTTGCCTGCCTTTCTCCGACAAGCAACACCAGGTTATCAGGCCCTGGACTGGAGCGGCCTCAGCACAGCCTTAAGAACTCCTTTACCTTTCGTCAGCCGCGCTCTCCCGGAGTCTTTCCCCGCCAGCCTCCGAAGCAGAACAGCGAGCCTCCTGAAAGCTCCCCGCGAGCCGCCACCGCCGCCTCTGCGGAGCTAGCCGGTGACTGGGCGATAAAAACCCACCCGTGACGTCACGAGGCGCAAACCAATCAGAGGCCCCGCGGCGGCGGGGCCGAGCAGGACGTAAAGACCCGCGCTGCAGCCTCAGCTACAAGGTGATGGACGCTTGCTCCATCAGTGACAGCTTTATCTGATCCTTTTTAACGTGTTCTAATATTGGGAATTAAGCCCAGGATTAGTCAGATATGGAAGGGAGGAGGGGTAAAAGGAACGCAGTAGTGCTTGACTCGGAGGAGAGGTATGAATACCTTATACCCGCAATACCACCGCATCCCCCTCCCGCAAGCGAGATGCTACCCCACATGAACATCTCTGGTCCACCAAAGGGTCTGCTTAGAGATGCCGACAAGTCTTTCTCCTTCATCTTTACTAATTCAATTTTCAAACCCATCATGAACCTGGAATTACATAAAACAACTGCTTCGTAGTGCTGAGTCCATCACCCCTCTTGGTTCTCACCACAGTCTGTTGTTGTCTGCGTTTTTACAAGTAAAGAGAGCTCCGAAGGGTTAAATGAATTATCTGTGGTCACACATAGCTGGCAGGTGGCTGAGCAAGGATCTGTCTGAATCCACCACCTGAGTCCCTCAGCACTTGGCTAATCATCTTCTTTCATCAGGGAATCCGAAGGTCTCCACTCCCCTCCCCCCAGGAAGTTCTTCATCTCTGGCCAGAGTTCATGCCCCAATACCCCCCACAAGTTTCTCCTTTGTTAAAATAGATTGACAAAGAGAATTCACCAATGGATAATGTGTGTATTGACCTCATGCATACTATGTGCTCTGCATGAGCCAAAGAGACAGGGAGATATAGAGGATGTTTAGGCCACAGGGACTGGCCTCAGAGGGCTTACACTCAAGAAACAAAACTAGGCCGGTTGCAGTGGCTCGCCTCTGTAATCCTAGCACTCTGGAAGGCCAAGACAGGTGGATTGCTTGAGCTCAGGAGTTCAAGACCAGACTGAGTAAAAGCAAGACTCCATCAATTAGTGGTATTGTTGGAGTTGGGCATTGTGGTAGGTACTGGGGATTGCTTGAGTCCAGGTGTTTGAGGTTGCTGTAAACAATGACACCAGGGAACTATGGCCTGGGGCGACAGATTGAGACTTTGTCTCAAAAAAATATATAAAAAGAAATAAAACTGAGCACTGGTAGGAAGGACAGTGACAGAACGCAGCACATGTATTGGGTCTTTGTAAATTGTAAGGTAAGCACTTGTAGGACTTCACAGACAGGAGAGAAAGTGTCAGATGTATGCTTCTGGAAAGGTTTCTAAAAGTTCATTAACTAGTTAGGAGGGACACAGGACTAGTTAGGAGGGACACAGTACTGGGTGGCATCTCCCCAGCCACTGCAGCCTCCTACAGTCTGGGCAACCCTGAAGGGGAGGAAATGGTCACAAAGGGGCAGTGTGACCAAAAGGACAACAGTGATTACCTGCAGAAAGGTAGGTAGAATTGGAGGGGGGAAGGAAGTGGGGAGAAATCAAAAGAGAATAGAACTGTAACTCTAATATTTCTATTTTTGTACAGAGGCTAGATTCTTTTGATTATTATGTACTCCAATATTAAGAAAGGCTATGTGTAAGAGAGACTGGAAAAGGGGGAGGGGAAGTCATTGACAGACAGCAGGGCCCAGCCCTTTCCTGCTCACCCGCCTCAGTCAAGTGTTAATAAATAAGCTTCCCATCTGTTTGGCACCAGCATGCCTTGCCACCACCTTCTTTCCCTCCCAACTACAAAACCAGCCACTTGGTTTCCCCAGAATTGCAGGGAGCCTCCCCATTCCCTGAAGACCTTAGGAAATTGGTCTAAGATCAAGACCTTAGGAAATTAGTTTGTTACACCCCAAATTGGGGAAGGGAATGTGACAGTTTGCAACAGCAGCTAAGGCACAAAAGTGGAGCTCAGTATGGTGAAGTTAGAGAAGGGAAGACAGAGCAGAACTAGGGGTTGGGAACAACTACCCCTGTTGAGTGGCCACTACGAGGCAAACTCTGGTCTAGGAACTTTGCACACATTTTTTTTGCAGTTTTTGGCCAGGGCCAGGTTTGAACTCACCACCTCCGATATATGGGGAGGGCGCCCCACTCCTTTGAGCCACAGGTGCCGCCCCACACTTCTCCTTTTTTTAATACACAACTCAAGCCCATGAAATAAGGCTGTTTGGCTCAGCGCCTGTGGCTTAAGTGGCTAAGGCGTCAGTCACATACACCTAAAGTGGCGGGTTCGAATCCAGCCCAGGCCCAACAAAACAACAATGATGGCTGCAACCAAAAAATAGCTGGGCATTGTGGTGGGCGCCTGTAGTCTCAGCTACTTGGGAGGCTGTGGTAGGAGACTCGCTTGAGCCCAGGAGTTGGAGGTTACTGTCAGTTGTGATACCACGGCACTCTACCCAGGGGGATAGCATGAGGCTCTGTCTCAAAAAAATAAAAAAAAAGAAAGAAAGAAAAAAAGAAAAGGATGTTTAATCTAAAAGGAAGAAACCAAAGCACCAAAGATAGGTAATTTGTCCAGGGTCACCCAGCCAGAAATTGGTCAAAGCTGACTTTAAACAAATGTTACAACGGCTATGAAACTGAAAAGACACAGAAACTAAAAACATACAGATTGTCTTGTTACTTCCACAATCTTTGACGCTTCTTTAACATTTTTCTTATAATATCTCTTGGGATTCACACCCAAGATAGAAATTGTCACTTATCTGATAAAGGAAAGGAAACTGTGACAATCCCACCCCACCTTTCATCTTTCACATTTGCCAGGGAAGGTGTTGATGAACAAATGGGAAAGAGGAGGTGGGGCAGGGGAGGAGTTAAAATAAAGGGTCCAGCTTGTCTCAGTAGCACCAAGCCATGGGCCTACCCCAAGCCCTACAGAAAACATTCCAATTTGTGTACATAGAATAAATGTATATGGAGTACCTGGTAGGTGCTAGACACCATGTAGATTCTGGGCATAGAGCCCTAGACAAATGGATAATTACCTGTCCTCATGGAATATACATTATAATATGGAGTGGAGAGAAACAGGCTATGAATAAAGATAATTTCAGATGGACATACATGCCATGAAGAAAACTACAACAGGGAGATGTGCTAAAGAGTGACTGGATGGGCTAGGTGTGGTGGCCTGTAATCCCAGCACTCTGGGAGGCCAAGGTGAGTGGATCACTTGAGGTCATGAGTTCGAGACCAGCCTGAGCAAGAAGGGAATCCCATCTCTAAAAACTAGCTAAGTGTTGTGGTAGGTACCTGTAGTCCCAGCTACTTCGGAGGTTGAGGCAAGAAGATCACTTGAGCCCAAGAGTTTGAGGTTGCTGTGAGCTATGACGCCATAGCACTCTACCAGGGGCAAGAAAGTGAGACTCTGTCTCAAAAAAAATTTTTTGAAAGTGACTGGGAGGGGGAACTATTTTAGACTAAGGGATGAGGTCAGCACCTGTGGCTCACACCTATAATCCTAGCACTTTGGGAGGCCAAGGTGGAAGGATTGCATGAACTTAGGAGTTCAAGACCAGCCTGAGCAAGAGTAAGACCCTGTTTCTACTAAAAATAGAAAAGTTATGGCTTGGCGCCTATAGCTCAGCAGCTAGGACACCAGCCACATACATTTGAGCTGCCGGGTTCGAACCCAGCCCCAGCTTGCTAAACAACGACAACTACAACCAAAAAATAACCAGGGGTTGTGGCAGGCACCTGTAGTCTCAGCTACTTGGGAGGCTGAAGCAAGAGAATCGCTTAAACCCAAGAGTTTGAGGTTGCTGTGAGCTGTGACGTCTTGGCATTCTACCGAGGGCGACATAGTGATACTCTTGTCTCAGGAAAAAAAAAAAAAAGTTACCCCAGGTAACTTTGTGTATCTGTAGCCCCAGGTACTTGGGAGGCTGAGGCAGGAGAATCACTTGAGCCCAGGAGTTTAAGGTTGCAGTGAGCTATGATGATGCCCTGGCACTCTACTCAGGGCAGTAGAGTGAGACTGTCTCAAAAAATAAAATAAAAGGCTCGGCACCTGTGGCTCAAGTGGCTAAGGCACCAGCCATATACACCTAAGATGGCGGGTTCGAATACAGCCTGGGCCCGCTAAACAACAATGATGGCAGCAACCAAAAAATAGCCAGGCGTTGTGGCGGGCGCCCGTGGTCCCAGCTACTTGGGAGGCTGAGGCAGGAGACTCGCTTGAGCCCAGGAGTTGGAGGTTCCCGTGAGCTGCAACACCACGGCACTCTACCCAGGGGGACAGCTTGAGGTTCTGTCTCAAAAAATAAATAAAATAAAATAAAATAATAAAAATAGAGGGGGGGGTGACACCTGTGGCTCAAAGGAGTAGGGCACCAGCCCCATATGCCAGAGGTGGTGGGTTCAAATCCAGACCCGGCCAAAAACTGCAAAAAAAAAAAAAAAAAAATAGATAGGGGGACAAGGGCTCAGGAGGATTTTTTTTTTTTTTTTGCAATTTTTGGCCAGGGCTGGGTTTGAACCCACCACCTCCGGTATATGGGGCCAGCACCCCACTCCTTGAGCCACAGGCACCACCCGTCAGGAGGACTTCTTAAAGAGGTGACATTTGACCCAAAGTTTAAGTGTCGAGAAGTGAAGTAAGCAGTCCAGACAGAGGGATAGACTAGTAGCTGGGAACTCCTACTTTCTGTTGGCTCCCTGTCCACCTGGATCAGATTCCAGCTGCTGTGTCATCCTCCTTTCTCAGAACTATCTCCCCCACTAGACTGAACAATGAGGGCAGGAGCTGGTTCTCCTCATCTGTAGCTCCACAATGCCCAGCCACAGGTAGTCAGGAAGTCTTGCAGGAATTAAAAAAAGAATAATGGAATGATATAAATATACTCAGGGGGTTCTCTGAGTAGTGGAACCAAACCTCTACCCTTAGCCTGGGAGTTTCTCAGTATGGGGTTATTGAGCCCTTAGGGGT